CAAGGCCGAGTGAAACGCAACTTCACTAAGACGACAACACATAAATCAAACTTTAATGAGAATATTTTGCTTATTTCACCAGCCACCTGAGCATCTTGACAAGTCTAAAAAGCGAGCTCATCAATGCGATTCGGCACAACAACAATGGGACCAGACATAAAAACTGTTCCAATTGTAAGAGAAGATTAATTATGTTGGACAGAATATGAAGAGGATTTTATTACATTCCATTCGAATTGTTCTGAACAAGAAGTCAAATGAAAATGCTGAACTATTTAATTTGTAGTGACTTTCACTCCACGGTCAGCCTGCTTCCAGCTCGCATATCTACCAACACGCAAGCGGTTATCGCTCGACTCATGCAACCCTACTCGATGCATGACTCATCGGCACGGTCTCCCGCGGGAGGTCTAATCGAACCTAGTCATCGCATCGAGCCGCCCAGTTGAACCAATCAGAACGTGGCATTAAAAGTACACAAGAGAGTGTCAATCTCAAAGCCCTGTGGAGTGAGGAAGAGCATAAAAAAGGGAGAGTGGGCAGTGATGAGGAGACGGAAGGGGGCACAGAGATGGAGGAGAGTAAGGGGCAGGAAAAAAAGGAGTGTGGATAGGAGCAGGTGAAGGAGGAAAATGACAGAGGAGAGTTAAGAGAGGGTGAAAGAGGATAAAGAGAGTGCTCATGTGAATGATAATGATGATAGATACAATGATAGTGGTGATTATGATAATTAGTAGAAGAGAGAGAAGAAAAAGCAGAACTAAATGAGAATAAGAAATAGAAGAATGAGAAGAAGAATAGAGAGAAGAGAAATGAGAAGAAAAAGAAGAAGAGAAGGAAGAAGTAAAAGAAGGATAGAAAGAGGGAGAAAAGAAGCAAAAGAGAAGAAAGGATAAGGAAAAATGGAAGTAAAAGGGGTAAAAATAAAAATAATAAAAAGAGGAGGGAAAAGAAAAAGAAGCAAGTGACAATTTTCATCAAGATCCAATTCTTGCACGCGATTAAGTGACAAAGTGCAAGTGAGACTGCATTAGTAAGATCAGTACAAATTGGTAGCACACTTGGGCCAGGCTTTGGCCTAGGGTGTTATGTACATGTACCCTAACCGCGTTGGCTTGATGCGAATCCCACTGGGAGCGATGATGTGACGAGAAGAGGTTGAGGCTGTAGTCTAGAGCAAATGAGAAGGCAATTTTAAGCTGTATTGGCTAAGGATGAAACAAGTTTATATCATCGGTTATGTGCAGATGCGCTACAAATGAAATTATAAGAGGGCCCATTTAAACACTTTTCCGTACTTGCGTGAAAATTAGAAGCCCCCTACAGACACACGCCTCCCACCGAAACCCCAATTAAAAATTGCTTAGCAACTGCCAGTCTTGACTACACATTTACAAGTCATCCTCCCTTATCGATACAGCATCAGCGCGCACATGTTGGGAAGAGATTCTCTCATTTTCCTCCTTAGTGCTCCCACATCTGCCTTTAGGACGGATCCCCACAGCATCACATTCAGCTTCATTCGTCTTGGCAATTTTGCCCGGCATTAACGCCTTCTGGAGGCAGCAGGCAAAAGGGCGCATCTCCCAGCGGGAGCAAAGTGGGATTTGAAGAGTGCTGAAAAAGGAGACTCACCAACAGTTGTGGCAAGCGGCAGGAAAACGAGTGACCGCCTGTCGTCACGAGAGAGACTGCGCAGGATGACTCGCGTGTGCCATTGGGCGAGACCGGAAAAGCGTACTCGGAATGTGGAGG